GCTTGGGCTGGGCTGGGGGGACAGCAGGCGGGAGGGCGGGTGAGCGCAATGGCGAGGCGGCAGGTGGGAGGACGGGCGGGTGGGCGGCGGGATGAGGGGACAGCATGACGCTGTGCCTGCCCAACCATGCTGCTCAATGAGCGGCGCGCTACTGCCCGCCGCTCATCGAGCAGCACAGCACACGGAACGACACGGCGGTGTCATGCTGTTCCAGCCTGGGCGCCCAACATAAACAAACGAGAGCCGGCATGCTGCTTGCACCACAGCCCCAGCACCCCAGCTCCACCCTGGCCCAGCCCAGCCCAGCCCCGCTCACTCTAGGTTGGCCTCAGTGAGACGGTCCACCACGCAGCCCGCCTCGTCATCATTCAGCTCTGCAGGGCAGGCCGGCAGCCAACCAGGCAGCAGCTTGAGCCGACTCCAGCCTCGAGGCGGGCGAAACAGTCCAGCACACGGGCCGCTCGCAGCCCCAGCTCCCCACAGCCATGGTTGTACAGCCTGCGCAGCTCCTGCAGCTGCCCGCCAGCCCAGGGGTCCCCGCTCACTCTCAATGTCCTCCAGCAGAACTGTGTCGATCTCGCTCTTGCGCAGGTAGCCCTTGTCAAACAGGCGGTCCAGCTTGACCTGATGGGAGGCAGAGGAAAGGAGAGGAGAGGAGGGAGGGCGATCAGGAGACAGCTCAACGGGCAGGCTGTCAGGAGGCGCAGGCGGGTGGGGCACGGCGCAGCGACAGGACACAGGCATGCTGGGCAGCAGGCTCACCCGCCATTCGGCGGCGGCGCCGCCGCCACCGCGGGCGGGCGAGCGGCTGCGTGTGCGGCGAGGGGAGCGCGACTCGCGGCGGGGTGAGCGGCTGTCTTTGGAGCCTGCAGGGAGGGAAGGGGGGCAGGGGTAGGGTAAGCGCCGGCAAAACGCTGCTGGCAGATGCATGGCAGCTTGTGCGGCAGGACTAGAAGGCCGTGGCAGCGAACTGCAGCAGGCGATGAGCCAGGCGGCGGTGCGCCCCCAGCAGCGCGGGCAGCACCGCAGGCCAGGGAGGTGCGCTCGGGTGCTGGCTGCATCTGGCATGCCAACTTTGCACAGCAGGCCAAACCTGGGGTGCCAAGCGCCCGCCTGCAAGAGCTCAGCGCGGCGCATCGGCGTGGCGCTGCTGCTGCTGCTGCTGCCAGTGCCGGCGCGGCAGGCTGGTGTGCGGTGCGTGCAAGGCCGGGGCAAGCAGGGGCCGCATGCCGTGCAGGGCCGGGGCAGGCAAGCAGACCAGGTGCCGTGCGGCCGTGCTGGGCGTTTCAGCCGTGCGCACGTGTCGCGCCGTCGTGGCACGCGGAGACCGTGGCAGCGGCGGCAGCGGTGGCAGAGGCAGTGGCGTGGTGCGGGTGGCTGGCGCTGGGTCAACACGGCTGCAGTGGCGGCGGCAGGGCGGCGCACGCACGGCTGCGGGTCTTGGAGCGTGTCCTGCTCCTGGAGGGCTCGCGGCTGGGGCTCCGGCTGCCGCTCCGCCCCCGTGGGCTGGGGCTCCTGCTCCTATCCTCCCTGAGGGCAGCGGGGCAAGGGTGAGAGTGTGAGAGGGTGGGTGATGGAGGCGATGTCCCCACTGCTGGCATGCGGGCACCTCATCGGTGAGTCGCGGCGGTCGTCGTTGTCAGACATCCTGCCGGAGGCGTGCAGCTCGGGTGTGTGGCGAGACACGGCGAGCCTGAGAGACGATCGGCTCAGCCACACGCTGCAGGAGGCGAGGCAGCTATCTAGGACACCGCACGGGGCGGCGGCGGGGCCATTCGAGGGCGCGCCGCGCGTCAGCACTACCTGCGAGGTACGGTCTGGCTTTGGACCCGCTGACCGCCTCCCCCCAGGCCTCGTTGCGCATCTGCCGGCTGTCGGCGATCCAATTGTGCTCCCCTTGACTGCCTGGGTGCCCACCACGCGCTCCGCCGTGCCGGCGCGGTCAGAGCCGGTTGCGGCACAATGGAGAAGACCCCGCTGCGCCTTCCAAAGCTCAAGACCCGGGATGAGCTGCTGCGCACGGCCCCCGAGCTGGGGCGCCTGCTGGCAACGGGCGAGGGTGAGGCCGGTGGAGCGGGCGCGGCGGCAGCGCCTGCTGGCCGCGTGCCATCGCCTCTCAAGGCACGTCCCCGCAGCTCCCCCAGCCGGCGCGCTGCCAGCCCGGGACGCCTGGTCCGTAAGTTTACGGACGATGAGCTCACAGAGGAGGAGCGTGTGGTGGGTGCCGCCGGCCGCCGCCGTGGTTGTTACCAGCCGCGTGCCATCGCCGACTCTCATGCCGAGCTGCAAGGCTGCTTGGCCAGAACAGATGGGCAGCCTCACCACATTCCCACCCTCCTCTTGCGCCGCACCATCAATCCCTCTGGCGCTGCCTGCCGCAGCGCGCGGAGCTGGAGAAGGTCAAGGCGGAGCGCGCCACGCTGCTGACCTCGCTGGCACGCCTGCGGGCCGACACCGGCAAGTCGGGGGGCGAGCTGCAGCAGGAGGACATCCGCCTGCTGCGCCGCGAGCTGGAGGCCAAGCAGGACAAACTGAACGAGCTGCGGCGGGTGACGCGCGAGCTGACAGACACGTGCGCAAATGGGCGGTGGCAGTGCAACCGGGGTGCACCCGTTGTGGCCCATCACAGCCCTCTCCAGCGCCATGCCTGCATGCTTCTGTCTGCCTGCCTGCTGCTGGCAGCATGCGTGGACATGCTGCGACCCACAGCGATAGGCCCACCGCTGAACCGCGGCCCACATCAGCGCATCACAAGCAGCGCCTTTCTGGCGGCCCTGCCCACATCCATCCCAGCTGCCACGATCCCGTTTTTTTTGCAGGATGGAGCAGCTGGAGACGACGAGCCGCGACTGCGACCAGCTGATGCCCCAGGGCATGGCGGAGCTGGTGGGGCATGTGGAGGGGCTGGGCGGTGAGCTGGCGGGCGTGGAGCGCGACATCCTTGAGGCTGAGGCCAAGCATGAGCTGTACAAGCTGCTGGAGGTCCGCACCAGGTGAGGCGGGCAGCATGGGTAGGGTGGTGTGTTAGCTGTGGCTCAGCGGTCATGCGGGTGGCCAGCTGGTCGGACAGGCATGGAGATCTGGCTCAGCATGAAGGCTGGTAGACAAGAGCGGGCTGGCTGGACATGCCGCCAACAGGGCGTGAGTTTATCCTCCTGGCCCTCCCCCACTGCAGGCGCGACCATGCCGCCGCCCAGCAGCGTATGCGTGATGCGAGGGCACTCAAGGAGGGCGCTGCCGACGACTACACCGCGCTCGCCAGGCAGATGCACGAGATGCGGGCGGCTAAGGAGAATGCGGAGTGCGACCTGGGCGCCGCGGTACTGATGTACGACCAGATGCGCAGCGACTGGAGCAAGAAGCTCAAGGACCGGCGCAAGGAGGTGGGCGGGCACCTTTGGGGCTTCTGGAGGCTGGTGGAATTTCTGGGGAACGGGGTGGGAGTGGTGTTCAGCGCTTGCAGGAGGGCAGGCCCAGGAAATGGCAGCTGGACGTGCAGCAATGCATGTGGTTAGTCCAGGCTGAGCTGCTGCGGGCGCAGGTGCGTGAGCTGGAGCGGCGCAGGGCCGAGGATGACAAGCGCAAGGCGGCGCTGGAGGCGCTGGCGGCCGAGAAGACGCGGCTGGAGCAGGAGAAGGTGGACAAGACCAGGTGGGAAAGCAGCAGGGGGTGACTCCCCAACTTCTCCTGTTGCACTGCTTCTGGCGTTTTGCAGCCTGCCAGCAGCTGTCAGCTTGTCTTGCCGCACAGCTGTTGAGTCCCATGCGTGATGACCTGCTGGGACCTGCGCTTGCTGCCTGTGGCACAGGACGGACCGCGAGGCCGCCACGCGACGGCTGTCTGCGGTGGTGCCGGAGCTGGAGCTGCTGGAAGCCAGCTGGGCGAGGCTGCACGGCGTGTGCGGCGCCGCCACTGCCGAAGACCTCATCGCCTACTGGCAGGGTGGGTGCTGCTGGCAACCTGGCTCTGAGAAGCCAAGGTTGGACATAGCCAAGCCTGGCCACCAACCTGATTCTGCCAGTTCTGTTGCTGCCGCCTTTGCCGCATCTGCTGTGCAGAGCTCAAGGCCAAGGAGGCCAGCATGCGAGAGCTGGTGCGGCTGGCCGAGGTGCGCGAGGCGCGCGCCAAGCGGGAGATGGCGGCGCTGCTGGCCGAGAAGGCAGAGGTGTTTGACACCGACACGGCGCGGGGCGAGCGGCGGCAGGCGGCGGCGGCGGCGGAAGAGGCTGGGGCTGGGGAGGGCGAGGCGGCGCCGGAGCGGCTGGCGTGGGAGCAGGTGGCAGCGGAGCCGGCGGTAGCTGCCAGCGCCGCTGCGACGGAAGCGGCGGCAGCAGAGGAGGGTGTCCAGCCTGGCACGGGAGGAGCTGGCGCTGTGGAGGCGCCGCCAGAGTCGGGTGCCGACAGCCCTGCAGCGGCGCCAGCCGGCAGCGCGCCGCCCAGCGAGCAGGCAGGAGACGAGGAGGCTGCCCCAGCCTCTGGCACACAAGCAGGCCCCGCCCAGGAAGAGGACACAGCTGAGCCAGCAGCAGGCGTGGCCGCGCTGGAAGCGCCAGCCGAGGTGGCCGCGCAACCTGCGGCAGAGGCGCCAGCAGAGGTCTCCACGCCAGCAGAGGCGGAGATGGCAGCTGCTGCCGCCACCTCGTCTGCCGCGGCTGCCGTGGACATGGAGGAGCTATTGCGGGAGAAGCAGGTGCTGATTGTGGAGGCCCGCCGGCGCAAGAAGGTGGCCAAGCAGAACTTCTCCAAGCTCAGCCAAGTGTGCGTGGCGGCGGACCAGGTGAGGCAGGCAGGGCAGGGTGGTGCTGCCGACGCCAGCCGGTCCCATGGGGCTACCGACTACCTGGTAGAAATGGGGGAAGAATCGTGACAGGGCTGGGCTGTTGTAATGTCGAAACCCGGTGCACAGCCAGCGACAGCCAGGTGTGTGCTGGCTCCGCCGTGCAGGGCCTGCACCTGCTGGCGCTGCGCCTGAAGGGTGCCATGGACTCTGGGGAGGCTGCCACCCGCCGCCTGTCCCTCCGCGATGGCCGCCGCCTGACATCCATGACAGACAGCCGCCGCTGCTCGGTGGGCGGCCGCCGCGTGACGGGCGCGAACCGGCGCACCACGGGCCAGCACGCGATGCGGGTCAGCGCCGCGGGCCTCATCGAGCGGCGGGCCAGCATCCAGCTGCTGCCGGCGCCCGCGGCCGCTGGTGGGCATGCACGCATGCTGCCCGGCTGCCTGGCTGCCTGGCTGTGCCGCCCCCGCCCTGCAATGCGCGCCTGGCCACACGCTGTGGCCAGAAGGGCAGCGCTCTGTTCTTGCATGTTCTGCGGGCTGCCAATGCTAAGGCCTCTCCAGCTCCCGCCTCACCTCACCTACTGCCCTGTTCCGCAGAGGGGGTCACCCCGCGGGCGCCCCAGGGGGCCAGCATCCACGACAAGGACTTCTTTCCAGAGCTGCCCTCTGCGCTGGCCGAAGTGGGCGGCCAGCTGGACCGCCTCATGCGCCTGGTCCAAGAGATGGAGGCCGCGGCAGCTGCCGCGCAGCAGGCCGCCGCCACGGCGGCCGCGGCAGAGGCGGAGCGCATGCTGACGGGGCGCAGCATGGCCGACAGCGAGATGAGCGGGGTTGGGGAGGATGGCGCCGCGGCGGAGCCCACACCCACGCTCACTCCCCCAGCCACCGCGGGACCGGGCAGCGGCTCGCGCCTGCCCAGCAAGAAGCAGCTGCAGTGGGCGGATGGGCAGGCAACGCCTCGCGTGCCCGGGGAAGGGACAGGCAAGGAGGGCGGCGGGGAAGAGGATGGGGATGGCGGCAGCGACACTGACCCAGAGGCGGCGGTGGCGGCGGCGCAGGGCGAGAAGGAGCTGCGCAAGGGGTTCAGGCGGCGCACCTGGGCGGGGCCCGCCTGGCTCAATGCGGTGTCGGCCGGCAAGGTGAGGCCTGGCCTACCCGCCTCTCGGCTGAGCAGCCGCTTGGCTGCGCTTCTGACGCCGGAGCAGGCCCGTGCTGCCTCCAGGCTGTTGCCTTGCTTTGATGCCCTGTGTGGGGTGCCTGCTCCCGCCTGCCGCAGCCGCTGACCGCCTCGCTGCGCAAGATGACTGCCAGCCGCGGGGGCAAGGCGGCGGGCACCCCTGGGGCCGGGCGTGGCCGGGGCGCCGCCTCGCTGGCGCTGAAGCGCATCGTGGGGTATGTGGAGGAGCCTGGCAGCGGCGACGACGCCGGCAACCCCTTTGTGCTCAGCAGCAGCGAGGATGAGGTGGAGGAGGAGGGCGTGGTGGACAGGTGCGCTGCGGAGATGCAGGGGTGGTGGGGCTGGGTCGTGCATGGGAGGGCGAGCAGGTGGCGAGGCGTAGGAGGGGCGGGTGCACGGCCCCTTGATGCTGCCGCATCACCACAACCGCCATCATGGTGTGATCTTTTGGCACACGCCCATTCCAACCGCTACCGGCTGCGGCCCGCCGCATCATGCAGGCAGTACTTGAAGCACCGCGCTCACAAGCTGACCAACCCCAAGGTCCGCGGCAAGGCGGGGGTGGGGGCAGCCGCCAACAGCCCTGCAGCGCCCATGGATGCCAGGTAGAGCGGCACCTGCCTGGGCAAGCTGCGCGTGATCTTTAGCAGTGACTGCTAACTTACAATCGTTGAATTCTTGATTCTCAAGCAAATGTGGGAGGGACCCAAAAGCTGCCCATTTGTAAAACCCAGAAATTGCAAGGGATCAAACTAGCACATGCAAGCTTCAAATCAA